AAAAAATGACACATGTGAAAGTTCCAACACATTATTTAGCTCATTACAGGAGACCGAAAACTATGGCTCGATTTTTTTTGTGCCCTCTGTATTTTGAGGATGGACATGACAAAAAGAGAGGGTTGAGGCAATTAAGCCATTATTATGTTAGTAAGTGCTTATAGTATTAAAGTTATGAGTTGTGCCCTTAGATTATATTATAGATAATGTGTCTCCATACAATTGCTTCTCTAAAATCAGGCTAACTTTTTACCCATTTTGCGTGAATAGTGTTACCATAATGTACATTTATTATTAAATGTATGGGAGAAAACATATTGTAAGGTTAAATTGAAAAATAAAACTATGTAAAATTTTTACGAATATATTTAATAAAACTAGATAAACAATTCGTAATGATTCGTAATGATGCTCCATCTTTACTAAATATTTTGATCTGTATTTAGTATTATGTATGTAGTAACATCTAGTATTTGAATCTTCGAAAATAGCTGCCTTTTTCAATTAATATATTAATTTGTAAGCAATACGTGCGTTTGTATATTTATTGATCAGAATAATAGTTCCCAAATCTAATTAAAAAAATCAACATGATCTGGGAAATTTTTAATTCGATTACTCGCAACACTGGACCTATGTATCCAGTTGTTTGATGTGATTTAAAAAAAACTAATATCATAAACATATCACGAGTCAGCTAAATATAGAATTGGCTGACTAAAAGTCGACCAGTTTTTGACATTCGATGCTCTATCTATATAACCTAATAAATATGCCATATTGCAATAAAAACATTTCACTCACATATCTTTTGCCTTTTGTTTCTGAAACTAAGTTTTTATCGACTAAAGATTCGATAAAAACTTTCGTCTAAAGAGACTGCAGACAAGTAAAAGATTTTTTATTTTTATTTTTACTTATAAATATGTATTTGTAAGAAAACTGTAAAAAAAGACAGCAAATCAATCAATCTTATTATAATTACAATCAATTTTTGTACTGGGTAGATATAATATTTTTTGATGTAATGAATAATTAATTATAATTAATATTCTCACGTAAAAAAATCAAGAAATAATCTTTTGTGCGATAAAATCAATAAAATCCAACGAGCTCATCCAATATGGCGTCGTAAATGTTTTATAAGATACAATTGAAAAATTACAAATAAATTTTTGTCGAAATAATCATCTTGTTTACTTGTAACACCCACTTTAGTTTTTTTTGTAGGACTTAAATTATTAAAGAACTAATTTGGAAGCGTCAAATCATATTTAATTTGAAACGAAGTTAGTAAATTAAAGTTAGTTAATGAGTATAAGTTCGCTAGGAAACGTCTGTTGTGAAAACTTGTAGTAGGGAAAATAGAAATAGTGAATTATATAACGGAATTTACATATCTACGTACATGAAAAACTAGCAAACGGCACCGGTTTCGCACGGCTTTTTTTCTTAAATAAAATACAGTCTATTTTACTCGGTGATCATTTAACTTTCTATAGGGGAAAGTATTTTTAATATCGGATAATACATTTTTTTCACTTTATTCATTACATACATATAGAAAATCTAATCTTCCTTTTTTATGATATAAGTTTAATTAAAAACTGCAAGGAACTATAGCGGATTCAAGTGTTTGTTCAACATTATGTGTTTTTTGTAGGAAATAGGAACTGCTAGACAATTTTAGATGTAACTAATTATAAAATAGGCAATTTCCACAAAGATGATAATCATCAGTCACCATCAAAGTCACCTGTATATATGTAGAACCAATTGAATTAGTAATAAGTTCACTACTAAATAACCTATCCATGTTACTATATCCTATCTGTAACAATAAATACATGTAATACAGTCTTGAGTCCATCTTCCATATTTCCAGATGACCCATCGCCCGTATCGAATAGCGAGGCCGGATCGCTCTGTCATTTACGCGGTATAACTACAAAAAAGGCATTCATTAAAATAAGTGGTTTTAATTTTTGTAATGAAAGAACTGCGTTGCAAGACTTGGCACTTTTTACATTTTTACGTTTTTTTATGGGATTTCTATTTTAGTCTGATATCTATCTATAAATTACATTGCTTACAACACACAAATTACAATACAAACATACACATAATACACAGTAATAGAGATAAAAGAATAAAAATAAAAAAAAAAAACGCAACAAAACAAAAACAAAAAGCAAAGTATATAAAACAACAATTTCTTTTTTTTTTTTCCTTCATAATAATTTTGTTACAACTAAATGCGCTATTTCAGTTGACCCTTGCTATATTCTCGAGAGTTTATAATTATGATTTAAATGTAACAATTACAATGTTTAATTACATTATATAATAATTATCTATATATCCAATGTTATGATGAACTGTACCCTTATTATCTGCTGTGTTATCTGTTATAAAATTGTAATATATACTAATTACTATAGAATATTATAATACATGGTGGCCCAAAAGACCTTAGAAAAGTAAAATTTGAATTAAACGAAAACGGCGCGCGTGAGCGGTGCAGGGGAAGCGGGGGCAGTAACATCGGTTTCTGTATTAACTAGCTGACCCTGCAAACGTTGTTTTGCCATATACATTATTCCTAGAAGAGATGTAATTAAAGCAAATTGTGATTATAAAACTATACATGAAAATTTCTCTTACTACAATTATTATTCTTCGATTGCCATCTTGAAACTCTATTGCGATATATAAAAATCGCGATAAAAAAAAAAAATGGTGGTTGATCAGAAAGTGTCAAAATTTGAATTTGTATTTGCACCTTTGTACCTTACATCTCCGGTCGACGTTTTAGATACTTTTAATCATGGTAAATTAAAGAGTTCCCATGGGATCGTTTAAAAACCATAGTAACTTATACAGCTTAGTACACAACCTACTTAAATAGGGGGCAAAGGGATTGTTTTTAATGCGGACTATCAGTCCCATTGCTAGCAATATACCCTAACAGGTCGACCTCCACGTGGTCCTCTCAGGAAATCATCGTGCTGAATTCATCACGGTGGGTTAGCTGCTATTTCATCTCACCTGTCATTCTCCACTAATGCCCCGCCAGCGTATACCGTTAGTGCAGGCGGGGTTACTATTCCATTATCATCTATTGAAAAAAAACTTATATAAATTAAGTCATTTTGACGTAAGGCAAAGAGTGAGAACGATCATTGTTACGTACGTCGTACGTCATTTGTTAATTTTGGTCCAGTATTCCCAGACAATATACCTAAATGCATAGATACCAACATCGATACATAGTAAACAGGAATAACAAATACCACGCGGACAAAGTCGCGGGTATCAGCTAGTAATACATAAAATGCTAATTTTTTTAGTGGCCTTTTATGCAAAGATAGAAAAACTGCAATTTCAGTTCCTCTACTCACAGAAATGAAATATTGGTTAGATATAACATACTCGTGTACGTGTAATAATAACTTGAGTAACTGACAGTAAACTGAGTATGTAACAAACATGGATGCCACAAGATGCAACTAAGGAAATTTGATGGTCGCGGGATAGGCTGCAGCTGCTCTTTTAAAACATCACCAAAGTCTAACTGCGGTTGCCATAATCGCATGCCAAAAGTGGCAACTATTCGCGTAACCTCTAAATGGGAGGCATATTTTCTGCAGTGGACGATGATTATTAAGATAGATTGATTTATTTGCCAGAACATTGTTTTTACAGATAGCGATTTATTGTGAAGTACAAATGTTCGGCCTTATAGTCTAAAGCATGCAAAATCATTATTGGCTAGGTACAAGTTACATTACATCTAATACATACATATAAGTTAACATTACGTCATCATTTACCAGTAGGAGACTTTGTACAAAAGTCGATTGCTTGGGTACCTCTGTCCCATTCGTGTTTCAACCGTAAAGCAGTTGTGTTTGCATGGCTGCGTTTCGGTTTGAAGGGTGGGATATGGCGTGAATTTACAGGGTACAGAAGAATAACACCTGAGTCCTCAAGAATGGCAACGCATGGGGGGTATCATGGGAGAAACAGTATACTCTGTTATGTCCATGGTACTGCTCATGTCTATAGGCGACGGTTACCACTTTCCAACAGGTGGGCCGTCAGCTTGTTTGCCATTCTAAGTTGTATAAAAAAAAATCAATTATTTATTCGGTTAGTAATAATAAAATTATAATAGTATCTTAAAAAAATCAATTAATACATTAGATTTAGTTCATTGTTACAGCTATTTAATAATAAAGTACAAATTATGTCATTCGAATTAAAGAATTGGGAGCGTCAATCGAATAATGGAAACACCAGGTTATTTAATAAGTTTGTTTTTGTTTTCAAAAGTTTTTTATTTATCGTAATTGATTAAAAAAATATATAATAAATTCCAGTGTACGTAAGCCTAGAATTTACAATCAGCCATAAATCGTTTGGCGAGTATTATACACTGCTTCAAACATTTAAAATAGAGATACAAGTATCTATAATTCTAGACAACATAAAAAACTTACATTACATGATGTAAATTATTAATTATAATCATAAAATAAACACAAAATGCACATACTAGTTATTGAAGTCGCTGGCGGAGGACCCAAAAAAAAACCAATTTTATAAAATAACTAAATTTAATCATAAAATTAATTGTTACAATAATAGGTGCCTTCAGATCGATGTGTGATCTGTAAGTGAAGTCATATCGAATCAAATACAAAGGAACTGGGTAATTTTGCTGTGGGAATTGAAGTGCTGACTCGACGCAGGTGTCTTTCTCGGTAGCGCCTTCTTGCGTCAAGCTAGGTGGTCCGATCCGTCGCCGTTGAAGGTGTGTCGTAATACTTTACTATAACATACTTGTAAATTATGCATTATAACAAAAATATATTTGATAAGTAAACATTATTGTTTGGTGAATCGGTATCATTGAATTATATCAGTATTATGACAAAGTGATAAAAAATATTTACATTTTTTTTTTTATTATTAATGATATAATTGTTAAATTGTATACTTAGTTTAATTCATACAACTGATTAGAGTTGACGTTATAGTTAACAAAAGTATAAATTTTAACAAAAATAAAATTTAAAATAATGGTACGTCTCACAGAGGAGCAAAAACAGTTTTATAAAAGCAATGGATATATTATATTGAAGAATTTGATATCAGAGAAAGAGTTGGATACGATTTCGAGGGAATATGACGAAGTGTTCGAGAGGAAGAACAGGGAGAATATAGAAAGCTCGTGGGTTGGCAAGGATGCTGAGGACAGGAAGAGTGACAGCCCATACACGGTATGTATTGTGATTATTACTAACTAGCTATATTCTGCTGCTTTGTCTGTTTCATACCTACTCCTTACTAATATCATAAATGTGAAAGTTAGTTTGTTTATTACTTCTTGGCGTCTTAACGGCTTTACCAATCATTGTGAAATATGGTATATGAGATGGAGAGGCATATAGGCTTTATACAGATGGAGAGGCACTTTTTACCCCGGTTAGTAAATATGTCCCGGTCACATGGACAATGTCCGGGTAAAAGGTATAATTATAAAAAATATCCATAAAACAATCAAACTACTGGGCTTCGTCTCTTTCTGCAAAAGAAGGATATGCAATATAGGTTTTTGTATTATATGCACATAAAAATTATTAATTTACTTTTGCATCTTCTACCTACTTCTATCTGTTCTCCTTTAACCAAAGGTTAGGAAACCTTTAACCTTAGAGGAGATTAGGGAAATCTCTTACAGACGTAAGAGATTGCCCTAGCGATAAGACCGCCTTTTGTACCTTTATGTATATATTTTAATCTGTACTTTATGCTATTGTATTTCACTTAAATCTTCTAATTGTCATTGTATATTTTTATGTTTCTGGTGCAATAAAGAGTTAAATAAATAATAAAAAAAAAACTACTATTAGATCGATTTGGCTTTATTTGCGGTTTTATAGTTACAGTATAGTTTCACTGATATTTGTCATTTTGTAAATTCTTCGGCTCTGAGAGAGTAAAACAGTACTTGCATAATTTAGATCTTGCTAATTTCTATGTCATTACATTTGCACATTGTGTATTTGTTGCGTCATTTTTCTTTTTTTTTTATTGGATAAGAATGGTATGGTAACCTTGCCTGCGCTAACGGGATACGCTGGCGGAGCACCAGTGAAGAGTGATAGATGAGAATGAAAACAGGCCAGTTAGCCTATCATGATGAATTAATCAAGAATTAATCATGATAGTTTCCAGGGGGAACCGCGAGGAGGTCGGCCTGGTTGGGTATATTGCTAGCAATGGGATTCTCAGTCTCTATTACAAACGATTCCTTCCCCCCTGTTATTTCTCATTAGGATATTATTTTTCAGGTAAAAGGGTTACATAATTTGCAATACCACTCGGCTGCGTTCGGCAAGTTTCTGTACAACGAAGGCTTGCTGGATGCTCTAGAAGATGTTATGGAGACAAAAAACATAATTCTGCATCACACGAAGGCTCATTTGAAACCGCCCGACAAAGGAGCCGCATATCCCATGCATCAAGTATGATAAATCAACACATTTGATATTAAAGACATCAATGAATGACGAGATGTCTTGTAGACGCATTAGATTAACCGTATGGTCCCGGCATAGAAAAGGCCACCCCTTCCTTTCCCACTGGTGTCGTAAAAGCCGACTAAGGGAGGCCGAGTGATGAGCAGCAGCGTCCCTCTCAAAACATCTCTGAAGCCTAACTGCGGCTGCCAATCCGCCTGACAAGCATGACAACTACTTATAAACCCCCCAAGGGGGAGGTTTATGTTCAGCAGTGGACAGTTAAAGGCTGATATGGTGATGATGATGAAGGTTTTTTTTTTATACAACTTAGAATGGCAAACAAACTGACGGCCCACCTGATGGAAAGTGGTAACCGTCGCCTATAGACATTAGCAGTACCGTGGACATAACAGAGTATACTGTTTCGTCCACGATACCCCCCATGCGTTGCCATTCCTGAGGACTCAGGTGTTATTTCAAACCCTTCAAACCAAAACACAAATTCAAATTCAAATTCAAATTCAAAAATCATTTATTCATGTAGGACATTTTAGCCGCTTATGAACGTCAAATTTTTACATTATAATTTTATATTTACCCACCTGATGGATATAGATCCAATTGAGAAGAACTGGCAAGAAACTCAATTGAATTACTTTTTTTTTTTTAAGCCAGTTTAGAATAGAATAGAATAGAAATCATTTATTCAAATAAACTTACATTGAAGCACTTTTGAAAAGTCATTACATTTTTTTTTAATTTACGCTGGACATAACAGATGTAAATAATTTTATTATTATTTTACATTTTTAAGTTTAATTGTCAAACCACCAATTAGCACTAATTCCCAAAAAGAAAAAAAAATTGAATACATAACCAACTGGTTAAACAATTGCCATTCCTGAGGACTCAGGCACCCGTTCATTGACGGATCAAACCCTTAAATTTACAAATAATATAGGTGTCACAGCCATGCATGAACAACTATTGCCATGCACACTGTCATTCAAGTAATCAGTGAGTAATAGGCTTTGCTCAGTAAATATGATTTAACAGATGTTTTGAATTTATTTAAGGGTAATTCCAACATATCCTTTGATCTTATTGTACAAAAAAGTATTAACTTTTTCCGATACTCTTTGTCTTTAAATCTAGTATTATGATGTAAATAAGTCAAGATTTTTATGATATAGAATATTTGAATATATAAATTGAAAATCTCGTCTCTCTTAATGTTCTTCATTAGATTGAACGGCACGTTTTTGTAATATGAATAATTCTTAATATCTGGCTGCCATTTTTCCATAAGAGAGTTTGAAAATAACTAAAATAGACTAATCTAGCATATATTATCAGTGATGTCTAACTTTCCACGGAAACACTCCATGGTAGCTGCTGAACTTAGTTTCGCTGCATTTGAATTTGTGCACCCCATTGTGTTTTATTATCTAGTGTGATTCCTAGAAAACAGTAGATTCTATAAATTCGAGAGATCATTTAATTTAATATTGCAATTAGTATTAAAACTTTTAGATAGAGAGAAATAACACATTTTGTTTTTTTAGCGTTTAACATAAGATTGTTAGTTGTAAACCAGTGCAGGAGACGCCGCAAAGCACTATTTACATCGTCATAATTATTAGTCATTCTATTAACTTTAAAAATCAATGAAGTATCGTCTGCAAACAATACTATGCCGCATCTATCCTGCATGGCCCACAGGAAACACAACTGACATAGAAACACGAATGAGACAGCTAAGCAATCGACTTTTGTACAAAGTCTCCCTCATGGTAATGATGTAATCACAAAAATATAGACGAATTGAAATCTCGTCGTTCATTGATTGTTACGAATAAAATGGCTGCCATTTTCTTTTATTGTATTTGTGCATATTATTTCTACTGCAGGATTACCACTACTTTCCTTACGAGAAACACTCCATGGTAGCAGCCTTTATTCACTTGGATGCCGCAAACCCTGAGAATGGGGGACTATTCGTCTACCCTGGCTCGCACAAGCTCGGCCCACAGGAAGACATCGGCGCTAAGGAAACACTAAACAACTTTCATTATGTTGACCAGGTAATATTATATTTTTAGGATTTTGTAGGATATTTTTATTCTCATAGTGCTTATCATTGTTTTAATTTATATATATATATATATATATATATATATATATATATATATATATATATATATATGTGTATGTATATATATATATATATATGTATCTATATATATATATATGTATATATGTATATATATATGTATTAGTTTATCCAAATATATTAAAAGTAATGTTTATGTATTATATGTGCATCTTATGTGTATATTATATTTATATTGTGTATTGCCTTAATTGTCACATATTTTTCACCACATCTGCCCTTCATACGCTTATTGTTTTTACCTAATGGTTAGCTGGTAGAGAATACCATATGGCATTAAGCTCGCCACTTGTACAATATTTTATTGTGCAATAAAGAATAAATGATATAATATTATGTTTAATAGATGATAATAGAACGCTAATCCCATCTGCGCTATCAGTAGATGCTGGATAACCAGTGATAGTTGTGGAGAACCAGTAAGTGATGATAGGTGAGGATGAAAGCAGATCAGTTGGCCCGTAGTGAAGAGTTTATCAAGATCACAAGTGTTATCAAGGGTCCCGTGCGAAGGTTGAATTGGGTACATTGCTAGCAATGAGGTCACTAGTGGAGGAAACTATAAAGAGTATAGTTTTCATTACCAATTATCTCTTCCCCTTTTTTTTTACCCGCCTTTTTTTATTATTTTTTTTAACTAGGATGAAAATCTTCAGAAAGAGACCCATCCGTCGGCGGGACGACGAATGGGTACTGTGGGATTTTTACCCACTAAAAACACCCCGGTATTCCTCTCAGCGCCATGTGTGCCGGTGTTGAGGGCTCGCGGTTGAAGTCTTCCGCGTCACCGGCAGCAATTATTCCTTCTCCTAGTATTATATTATCTGTTATTAGGTTAAACACATATAGTCACAGCATTTGCAATAAGCATCCATCCTGATTCTCCTTTCATTTGCAGTCAAAATTTCCGTTGGAGAAGGCGACGCCTGTTATTGCGGAAAGAGGAGACATCGTCATCTTCTCGTACCTGCTTATCCACGGCAGTTCGCTGAACACTTCCACGCGAACTAGAAGGATGTTGTTGGTGCAAGTAGCGTCAGCCGATGACGCACCAGTGGGATTGCAGCCCTCGAGGCCTGGTCAGGGGTGGCTTCTACGCGGCATTAACGTTCATCGGGATGCTAGTATTTCGAAACGATTTGAACAAAATTAAATAGTTTTTTTTATTTAGTTTTAATTTATTCTTTATCTAATAAATAACATTCTACGGCATTAACCTTGTCATTCATAATTATTGTGTAATAAAAAATAAATAAAAAAAATATGTGATTTTTTTTAAATTATCCCGTGACTGAAAAATGTTTAAAGCGTGCTGCGTTCGGGCCAAATTTAAATTGGCAAGTGTTGAAATTTCAATTTCGTTATTTTGTGTAATTGTCAATTATCTTTTTTCAATTAGTTTTAATTTAATTGGCGCAATAATTGCTTTACTGCAGCTGTTATTCAGTTCGAAAGTTCAGTTGTGGGTGAGATGTGGCAGTGATAATACTGGGTATCGATCTCGGTGTAAGTTCAATACATTATACAAGCTCTAAGCCTTGATACTATTAAATTCAATAGAAGATAATTTATTTCAATACCACTTATTGCCAAGTTGAAGGGATCGGAATGTTCGAAGGCTATTGACTTTAAGTTGTTCCTTAAGAATAAGGAACAACTGTAGTTATCTGAAGCGTTCGCAGAGGAAATTGATTAATACTAGTATTAGTTTGGTATGTACCAACTATCTTGTTGTGTATTAGGGTGTCGCTAGATTCACTGTACCTTAGGTCGCAAAGCGTCTCGCCGTGTTTCCATATGAAATCTGTATTGACGTTTTTATTTACACTGGTGCTTTTAATATATTGCTAGTTGTTGAAAAAAATTTTTTTGATTAATTGTCAAATCCCTTACTTTATCCGGTTTTGAGAAATGGGGGTTGCAATCCCAAACTTTAAAATAATTTATTACAAAACTATGATAGATATTAGAATAAAACAAAGTCTAAGCAACACATACAAATTTCATTGTTACAATGTGTTATCGCGTTAAATCCTTAGTATTTTCTTATTTATATTATTTTTTAATGTTTTTTTTTTTATATTAAACAACAATTGTTTTATTTTATTAATTTTTTAATATATATAGTTAATATTCTAAATAATTATAAGGTCACAAAAAATATTGAAAAAAAAATAGAGGTGGCTTTTAGTGCCTATTTTTTGAGGTATATCCACCATAAATTATATATGTATATTCAGTACATATCTAGTTATAATATACAACAATATCATTTGTGATGGGTGGAATGAATATAAAAAAAAATGTATGTAAGTAGGCACAATATGGTAAATTGATACTAGTTGAGATTGGTAATATGTACTAATGAGTACTTCAGTTTCTCTCTTACAATATAATAGGAAGCTATCTAAACAAGTGCCTAAAACATTCAAATGGTGTTATTTCTTTTATTTGAAGTATTGTATGAAAGTACTCTCGAATTTCGTTATTACACTCATCAAGGAATTGTTTGGCATTCTTTTTTTTTAAAAAAAGAGACCCTTATTGGTTAAACAACGTGTACAAAATACAGTCAATGTGAACTGTCTGTCTAGTGTGGTGCATAACATAAGAACACGTTTTTTTTTATAATGTTTACAAACAAACTGACGGCTTATCTGATTAAAAGTGGGAACCGTCGTCTATAGACAGTAAAGACACCATGGATTACAGAATACACTATTATGCTCATGGTGCTTCTTGTTAAGGACTAAGATACATTCGTATCCTGAAATTTGTGTAATAAATAAATAAAATAAAATAAATATTTTACCCTTAAGTTTTGTCGGCTATCCCTCGACCGCTAAGTTCTCTTAGTTGCCTCTTACGACGTCTAAGGAAAAGGAACGGATGGCCCATTCTATGCCAAAGTTGCACGGCAAATTATATATATTATTTTTTTTTTCACGGTGCAAGTAAAAAGGAAATTTTTTTTATGCAACTTAGAATGGCAAACAAGCTGACGGCGCACCTGATGTAAAGTGGTAACCGTCATCTATAGACATGAGCAGTACCATAACAGAGTATACTGTTTCGCTCATGATACTCCCCATGCGTTGCCATCCCCGAGGACTCTGGTGTTATTCCTCTGTACCCAGTAAATTCACGCCATATCCCACCCTTCAAACCGAAACACAGCCATGCAAATACAGCTGCTTCACGGTAGAAACACGAATGGGACAGAGGTGCCCAAGCAAACGACTTTTGTACAGTTTCCCTCTGGTAATGTAGCATTTATACTGAGACGATTCAGTCGCGTAGTAAGATGGATACTGAATAGCGTCCCACTGAAAAATAAGTTAACAAATCTAATTTTATTCAAAGGAGTCGTACAAATTGAAAAACTTATGAAAACTCAATTAGAGAGCGAATCGTCGAGATTGTGGGATTAGAGGTGGGAGCGGGGGACGGGACGGAGCAGGTGTGTGGATGACAACTCGTTTTAACATACAACGATTACGGACTAAATACATAATTCAAATACAGTAAGCGAATTTGAATACTGCTGAACATCGTGGCTTAGTTGCTTATTAGAGGGAAAGGGATTGTTATTTTTTGTCCTGTTTGAATACTTATTACAAAATTCCCATATATATATATATATATATATATATATATATATATATATATATATATATATATATATATATATATATATACTTCATCTTTCGCGTATATGAGTTGAATACCTGATAGAAAGTGGCAAACGTCGTCTATAAACATGAGCAGTACCATGGACATAACAGAGTATACTGTTTCGCCCATGATACCTCCCTAGCGTTGCCATTTCTGAGGACTCAGGTGTTATAACTCTGTACCCTGTATATTCGTTTGTGATATTCTTCATTCTAAATATGCATGTAATATGTATATTTTGCAATTTGGTCTCAGCATAAAAGAGGCCATCCCTTCCTTTCTCGTGGGTGTTGTAAGAGGCGACTAAGGGAGAGCGAGGGATGGGTAGCAGCGTCCCTCTTAAAACATCTCTTAAGCCTAACTGCGGTTGCCAATCCGAGCGTGGCAACTACTGGCAAAACTCCCCAAGAGAGATTATGTTCAGCAGTGGACAGTTAAAGGCTGATATAATGATGCATGTACAGCAAATTTCATGACTATTAAAGCGCCAAAAAAGTAACAAATAAACTTATATTCATATTTATAATATTAGTGGGAGACTGCCATTTCTTCTTCTTGTACTGATACTAGGCCGCCGCTGAGAAGTTTCCAAATAAAATACTCTAACGGAATACACAATATTCCTTTAACGGTATTTGTTAAGTGCGAAATTTTGTAGCGCGTCAAATTTTCACCTGAAACAAAAGTAATTTTCCTTCTGAAGTGTTTTGGTTTTTTTATAAAGCCGCATAACGTTAAAAAGTTGCACGGAGCGAAGGCTGGCAAGTATCTAATATAATAAATAGTAATAAAAAAAAGTCTTTTTAATCTGTGGTGACTAGTAGTAAAAAAAAACTTGTTTTATTAACCACGTTATTCGTGCAATTTTTATGTTTTTCCACGGAATGGAATATTTTACTTTGACTGGTAACGTGGAAAGAGACTTTGCTTAATCTATAACTAGTAAAAAAACAAAAATCCCAAATTAAAAAATATCAAATAAATAAATAAATATCAATTTTTTTATACCACTTAGAATGGCAAACAAGCTGACAGCCCATCTGATGGAAAGTGGTAACCGTCGCCTATAGACATGAGCAGTACCGTGGAGATAACAGAGTATACTGTTTCGCCCATGATAGCCCCCATGTTTTGCCATGCCTGAGGACTCAGATGTTATTCCTCTGTACCCTGTAAATTCATGCCATATCCCACCCTTCAAACCGAAACACAGCTATGCAAACACAATGGCTTCACAGTAGAAACACGAGTGGGATAGAGGTACCCAAGCAATCGACTTTTGTACAAAGTCTCCCTCTGATTATATCAAATAAATAATCCATTAACAAGTACATTTAAACATAGCAACAAGTAGGAATTTGGTTGGAAAAAAAAATTTTACTACAATTATTATGTATGTTGCTACATATATAATGTGAAACCGATCTGGGAATAGACTGTATTGAATCCAAAAAGAATTATGTTATCAAAACCACAACATAAAAATGATATACAGACGAATCGACAAACTCTTAATCCTTTTTGGAACTCATTTAAAAATAGTGTTACAATACAAAACACGGCAGTATATTTCTAAACAGTATATCATTATTTGGTCTGTATCCCCGGCGTTCCCTTGCATAATCCGGGATTAACGCGCCCTCCACCAAATGAGCCGAGATTTTTCTCCCAAGAGTGATTCGCATTTTTAAAAGCCCTTGTTAGCCTCCGCCCGTATCTACTTGTGCACTGAGTACGTCTGTTTGTTTAACATTTACCTGTTATTAAATCAAGGCACGTTTGCCACGTTGTTACTGCGTAGCTAATCTAGCTGGACACAATTTCATACTTCAAATCTACTTTTTCTGATGTCAGTTTATTTTTGTTTTTGTTTATATAGCTTAGGTGGGCATCTGTTATATGCTATTTGTTTATATACTGTAATTAGCATAGGTTACAGGGGGAAGGGGTTATTAGTAAAGCGGACTACCAGCTCCATTGCTAGCAATATACCCTGTCAGGTCAATTTCGCCAAAGTCCCTCCTGGAAACCATCACGTTGAATTTATCCCGATAGGCTAATTGAACTGCCTTTTCATTCTCACCTATCATTTCTTACTGGTGCTTCGCCAGCGTATACCAATAGCACAGGCGAGCAACATAGGTCTCCCCCTTGGAGGGTTTTGAAAGTAGTTGTCGAGCTTGGCAGGCTGGTTAGAAACCGTAATTAGGTTTGGATGATGTTTTAAAGGGACGTTGCTGCCTATTTCTAGACCATTAAGTTCCCTTAGTCGCTTCTTAACGACATCCACGGGAAAGAAAGAGGTGGCCATACGGAGGGTAAGCTTATGTCTGTAAGACGAAAATTTAACGCCTGCTCTGCGACCTGTCCTAATGACAAAAGTCTTGAATCACAGTGTCATGTAATTTCATTACCACGATCGAAATGAACTAGTTGGTAGGCGAAAGAATTTACTTTTAAAATCATGTTTGTATGGTTGTATTTTGGGTTTGAATAATACAGTAAAGTAGTGAAATTACAGGATGCGTAAAGCCATGGTCCTCAGGATTTATCAACACAGTGCATTCACGTTTATGGGCATGGTAAACGTCACGACTGTTTTTACATTCCATTGCGCG